GACAGTCGGACTAAGATTTAGACTGCAGTGGCTCTTCCTTAGGACATTCTCATTCACCAGGTGTGGCGGCACGCTCTCCAGTCACCGGCAACTTCTCCAATCTCCTGTGTTCTTGAAGTGGTCATAACACCAGACCCAGATAATGGAGGGGGCGTGTGGTAGATGGGACAATTCAGCGCGTTTGATTTCAGTCCACCGTGAGCTACGTATGGACGTCGTCGAAACCGACGATCAACCTCTCATCTTTTAATTTATAAATGCATAAAAAAGCGATAGAAATAGCCTCAGGTCTCGACGCAATGGATGCGCGATGCAATGAGCCGATGACGCAAAACGATTTTAACCGGACCACCTGTAGCACGTAGAAAGTCCATTTGCCGTGTGGAAGCAAAATCAGTCAATCTCAGTTCGAACCAGGAGTTATTTTTAGGCAATAAGACCCAAAGAATATTGTTTTTGTTAGCTAATTATAGAGCTGATGGACAATCGTCGGGCAGTAGAGCGGTTTTCTGGGAAAATCCGTGTACTAATATCAAACGAAAACCTGTTATGTCCCCGACCAATAGGCAAAAGAAAGACAAAGTGCCGGTTCTGATAACAAAAGCTTTTATTAAGGACAATACAGCGACAGCGGATCTTTAGCTTGTCCACTACAGCCTATTTAAAGGGCTCTGGTCCTTCTAGAATACTCCCGGCCAATAGCATGCGACCGGTGTTCTGACCTGCTGCTGATCGATAGTTTGCCACGCAGAATGAGTGGTCGTTACGCATGCACGCTGATCGATAGTCCTTCACGCTGTGTGAATGGTCGTCAGGTGTGCACAAGACGCCCAAATAGCATTGCGCGCGTTAGCGTATTATGCAAATACGCGCTTCACGCGTGCGATGGCGTGCGCGGCTGGTCTGTAAGCATGACGCAACTGGTGTGCCCTTCCAGTCGTGGGCTCTGAGTGCATCGCCGCTCGCGACCTCATACCAAAACCCTTTCGCAAAAAGTGAAGCAGATATTGCTTCAAGAGGGCCGGATTGTTTAAAATACTTCCATTTAGTCTCATTCTTCTTGTTATGAACAAAAACGAGATGCGAGAAGAGGGCATTTCAGTCACTGCATTCGTTTGCTGAGGATGCTGGCACGAAAGTTTTCATGTTTTTCGATAAACAGAACTCCCTGGCCTGTTTGCAAACCACTTTGTGTACGATGTCAAAACTTCGATTACACTGCACACGACAATGGCGATGCGTAAACGAAATGTGTGTCCCGATCACACTGTACGACGTGAGCATATCTCTGTCGGAAATAAAATGGAAGGGAAATCACAGCAAAGCAAGCCATTTATTAAAAGGGATAACCAAGCTTCCTGCGACTGGCCGTCTTTGAGTTTAAGTCTACCGAAAAAATGCGAAATTAGGAAAACCACCAAAAGCAGATGGAATATGTTTTTAGCATTTAATTATCAAAAAGTATACATTTGATCATCTTTCATTACTGCCCCCATCTTCAAATCGGGTAGAAAAAAACCACTGCCAAATTATCTCCCAAAATCGAAGT